TGCAAGTGCTGTGGAGAGGGAGAAGGGTCCCCTCCCCGTCCCCGCATCGGGCCCGGGATTCAGTGCAGGGGCTACGCCCCTCCCCCCCACAGTGCCCAGTAGAGAGATACGCCCCTCCCCCACGGGGCCTTGAGGGCAGTATAGGGGCTACGCCCCCTCCTCCCCACGGGGCCCAGTGTTCGGGAGGGAGATACGCCCCTCCCCCCACGGGGCCTCGGGAACAGTACAGGGGCTACGCCCCTTCCCCCCCTTACGCGGCCTCTGGAGCGGTACGAGGGGTAGGCCCCCTCCCCCTTGGGGTGCCAGGTGCAGTGTGGAGACACGCCCCCCCCCCGGGGCAGTTCTGCCCATGGGCCCCGTGTTTAAAATGGGGTTCTGCCCCCTAGCCGCAGCGCCGTGTTCAGGATGGGGATACCCCTATTCTCCCCAAGGCATCTGTTCGGGAATGTGTCCCTCCATTACCCCATGTGCAATAGGGGGACGTGTCTCCTGTCTCCCGCAGGGCCCTGTGTGCAGTCTAGGGCAGGGTTTCTCAAACTTTTAATATAAAGTAGCCCTTTAATAAAAAAAAGTATGTAAGTATCCCCAGTACCTACAGTTTTCAGACACACACTTTTTTTTTTCTACTATTGCAACGCATTTGTTTAAACAACTTAATCGTAGATGACATATTTGGGTGTAAAAAGTACAAAAATAATAAAACACTGTAAAACTTAAAACACGCATTCAGTTTTCTCCACATTTCAGTTGTGTTGATGTAATCCCCCAAACTTCTCTCAAATACCCCTGAGGGTACTCGTACAACTGGTTGACAAACAGTGCTCTAAGGGGGCATCCGCCACTCGTCATAGGGCTTTGTGTTAAATACGAAGATATGACTCCTTCCACTTCATAGACCCCATGCTCAGTGTGGGGACACACCCTTTGCCCCAGTGGCAACCTCTCTGTTCAATAAACAGATGTGCCTCCTCCTCTATTCTTTCATGCTCAATACAGGGGTATGCCAGGGCCGTATGTAGGCACCTGAAGATAAGCAGAATTATTTTCTGAGTTCAGAGTATCCGCAAATTCTGTAGAAGTCCATGGGAAATGCGTGCTCTCAGCACTTTTAAACATGAGGTCACTTATGATTGGGTGCTTGTATGGGATAGAAGGGCCTGAGCCGGAGACACCTAGATTTAGAACTCTGAATTGTTTAGAAGTTTTGACAGTGGGGAGGGGTCTTTTATGTGGTTAATTAATTAAATAAACTTCTGGGGCTGGAGCTTAAATACAGAAATGCAGCCTGCAGAAACTACAAGCCACAGCATGCAATATTTCATATTGATTCAAGCAGCCGGGCTAGAATCCTGCAGTCTTTATGAGAGGCTAATGTAGTGCTCAGAATGAGAGAGCATTTCAGGTAGTCTGTCATCTTGTTGGGTGGGACCCTTGTAGTAAATAGGAGGGCACCTAAAAAGACAATACCTCTGTGTTACAAATGAGGAGTAAGGGTTATTTCAAAGGAAGGGTTTTTTTCTCAAAATAACCCCATGGGGACCGTGTTTGTTTTCTTGCAAGACGCTATTTCGGAAAAGCGGCAGTCTGCGATTATGCAAATCCGTGCTTCATTTGCAATTTCGCTTTTTGCATTTGCAATTTGTCTGCATTTGCATTTCTCTCTCAGAAGAGGAATGCAATGTAGACATACCCTTCTTTACCTTGTTGGGCCTGTCCTGAAGCAGGTTACTTCTGGGTACTCATCTGGCTGTCAGTCTGTTTCTTCACTTCCCCAGATGGGTATTTAAGTTTTAAGAATGCTTGATAAACATCCTGTAGGTGTTTGTCTTTGTCTGAGGGATTGGAGCACATATGGTTGTATCTTAGGGCTTGGCTTCAGACAATAGATCATGTAATATGTCCTGGATGGAAGCAAGAGGCAAGTAGGTCAGAATAGTGGTCAGAAGGTTTCTGGTATTTGTACTGTAGTGTCCAGTAAGTGGATTTCTTGTGTGGATTGTTCCAGGCTGAGGTTGATAGTGGGGTGAAAATTGTTGAAATCCTGATGGAATTCTTCAACGGCTTCCTTTGCATGGGTCCCTATGATGATGTCACCAGTGTAGCATAAGTAGAGGAGAGGTGCTAGGGGATGGAAGCTGAGGAAACATTCTAGGTCAGTCATAAAAATGTTGGCATATTGTAGGGCCATGTGGGTAACTATAACAGTGCCGCTGACTTGAATGTATAAATTGTCTCCAAATCAGAAATTGTTGTGGGTGAGGACAAAGTCACAGAGCTCCGCCTCCTCGTGTGCTGTGGCATCATTGGGGCAGGGCTGAACGAAGGCATGGGCGAACTAAGCAGCTGGCCAGGGCGCCAACCGATGGGGGGCTCCCGATGGCAGCTGTCCCTTACAGCTGCCATCAGGTGCCGTGCACCCAGCTCCCCCAGCGGAATACCTCGGGCCAGCCCTGCACTGGGGATACTGTTTCTGACACCTTATAGTCTGTCCTTATGTGGAATATTGGCGTTGAGAGTTTCTATGTCCATGGTGGCTAGGATGGTGTTTTCAGGAAAATTATTGATGCACTGAAGTTTCCTTAGGAAGTCAGTGGTGTCTCGAAGATAACTAGGAGAGCTGGTAGCATAGGGTCTATGAGGAGAGAGTCTACATAGCTGGATAACCCTACTGTAAAGATGCCAGTGCCAGAAATCATAGGGCATCCAGGCTTTCCAGGTTTATGGAGTTTGAGTAGCAGATAGAATACTCCTTCTTGGGGCTCTAAGGCTGCGTCTAGATTGGCATGATTTTCCGGAAATGCTTTTAACGGAAAAGTTTTCCATTAAAAGCATTTTCGGAACAGAGCATCTAGATTGGCACGGACGCTTTTCTGCAAAAGCACTTTTTGCGGAAAAGCATCCGTGCCAATCTAGACGCGCTTTTCCGCAAAAAAGCCCCGATTGCCATTTTTGCGATCGGGGCTTTTTTTGTGGAAAACAAATCTGAGCTGTCTACACTGGTCCTTTTGCACAAAAGCTTTGCGCAAAAGGGACTTTTGCCTGAACGGGAGCAGAATAGTATTTCTGCAAGAATCACTGATTTCTTACAGTAGGAAGTCAGTGCTTTTGTGGAAATTCAAGCGGCCAGTTTAGACAGCTGGCAAGTTTTTCCGGAAAAGCGGCTGATTTTCCGGAAAAACTGGCCAGTCTAGACACAGCTTAAGAGTGTGTCTGTATAGATTTTGCCCCGTGCTATTGCAGGGAGTTTCTTGAGCAGACGGTGTGGTTTCTGTATTCTTCAGTGGGATCAGAAAAAAGTGGCCAATAGTTTTTTAGTAGTTTTATATTTAACACAGTACTGTACTGTATTTGTTTGTTTTTTGTTGTTGTAGTTTTTGTCTCTGCTGCTGCCTGATTGCTTAATTCTAGTTCCAAAAGAGGTGTGTGGTTGAATGGTCAGTTCATAACTCTGAGGGTCTATTGTTCTACTGGGCTGTGTTGTGTCTACACTGGCACCTTTTTCCGGAAATTCTTAAAATGGAACAGTTTTCCGTTATAAGTATTTCCGGAAAAAGAGTGTCTACATTGGCAGGATGCTTTTCCGGAAAAGCCCTTTTTCCGGAAAAGCGTCCGTGGCCAATATAGATGTGCTTTTCCGGAAAAGAGCCCCGAGCATCATTTTTGCGATCAGGGCTTTTTTCCGGAAAAAGACTAGTGGGCTGTCTACACTGGCCCTTTTCCAGAACAATGTTCCGGAATAAGGACTTATGCCCGAGCGGGAGCGGGAGCAGCATAGTTTTTCCGGAAAAGCAGCTGATTTCTTGCAGTAGATCGTCACTGCTTTTCCGGAAGTTCAAGGGGCCAGTGTAGACAGCTCGCAGCTTATTCCGGAAAAGCGGCTGCTTTTCCGGAATAAGTGGCCCAGTGTAGACACAGCCCTGTAGTGTAACTGATGTTTCTTAATTCTTACATTTTTACATTTGTATTGTGTTAAAAAACTATGAAAAATGTATTTCTAGATTATGACTTTTTTTTACTTGTGATTAGTGTCAAACACTATTTTGATGGTAATTCAAATTCAATACAAAATGTACAAAAATAGCATGCTTTTTTATTAAATATAACTACCTTGAAAGTGTTGAATATAAAACAGATTATCCAGTTAGAATGAGAGTTCTCCTCAGTGAAAGGCATTAGGGTTTGAGACTGTTTATAGGCTGTCAGGGTTAATTAGCTGTTTGGTATAGTTTACAATTTGGAATAGTTCTTCAGATCTTAATTTAGCAGATTCTAAGGAATACTAAAAAGCCTTTTAATCACAGAAATGAAATAGGCTTTCAGAGCTTCTTATGTCACTATTAGTTGGACTTTGAGAGTGGCTTATGCCAACTGGTCTGTTTTCTATGCCTGTACTTTATCTGGCATAGGACATCTGTGAATAATGGAGACCATCGAAGGAAGTTTCAGGTAGAGGACATGTAGTGTATGTCAGTATTCAAGGACAGGAAGTTGAACTAGTCTGAAATCACTTTGCTATGCTGTGGCACATTTAAAAAAATATTCAGATTGCAGGCATTTGAGCTGTTTTCTCACATATAACCCTGGCCAGTTATGGTAAAATACTTCTGATTAGCAGTAAATTTATGGGGTAACA